CAACCAAAATCAGTAGGACCAAGGTAGAATTTTACCATTGTTAAAAAATAAAGATAAAAACAATTAAGATTAGTGATCTCATGTTTGTTTCTTTTCCTCTTTTCCAAAACACCAAGTTTGTCTTCTTCTCTTCTTCTTCATTCACTTTCTTCTTCTCCAAACCTTAGCAAAGGTCAAAACTTTGAGGTTTTAAGCCTAATTCGGGATTTTCATGGTAAGTTTCAGACTCAACCCGCCTTAAGCTTCAATTTAAGCCTTCAAATACAAGATTTGGCCTTAGTTTTCAAAGTGTGGGTTTTGTGGGGTTTAAGGAACCTAAAGGTTTTGGTCTGTTTTCAGTGATTTCTAATCTTAGGAACTATTTTTAAACCTTTCTTAACCTATAAATTCAGTTAGTAACCCATGTTCTTGATTCCATGTTAGTGAGAGAAGTTTGAGAAAGCTCCAAGAGTAAGAACAATGAGAAGCTTGTTTTGGGTTGAGCTTTGGACGTTTCCAACAACCTAGATTACCAAGGTAATTCATTTCTAACTCAACTCTACCAAATGTAGTTCAATAAGTGAGATTTGGTAGGTTGTATGAGCTTGGAATCATGTTCATGGTAGATTGCATCTTTTGATTTTTCATTATGTTATAAGACCTCTTTATGATCTCTTAAATCATCAATAAGACTCTAATAACAATTGAGACCCTTACTAGGGTGTTTTGGGATGAAATTTGTCATCGTTCGTTGCCAAAATAAGGTATTTTCGAGCAAGGGTATCAATACTGTAAGAATATTATCAATATTGTTCTTCAGTTTAGGCTAAAATGTTCAAATTTAAGAAGGAAGTATCGATACCCATGCGAGGAGTATTGATACTGAAAGACCGGCATCGATACTGAAAGGCCGGTATCGATACTCACAGGATAGCATCAATACCGAGAACACTAATCAGATTCTAGAATGTAATTTTGGTATCGATACCTAAGGGAATATCGATATTTCCAATAGGGGTATCAATACTTTGTCCCCTCATTTTATATGATTAATTATATTTTTTCTCTTAAAGTTGAAATCATGATTCTGTCTTTTTGTCTATCATAAAATTTTATTTGAATTCATTCAATAAAAAAATTATTATTGATATATATATATATATATCCATCGTCTAAAATATTCATATATCCGTTACTAAGTAAAAGAATACGTGTTTGTTATCTTTACGCCGTGAGGCTTCTTTTCTATAAAGAAATGAGCCACCAAATTTTGTCTATACAAATCTAGTCAAAAGCTTCTTTGGAAGATAAGCCTTTGACAAATGTTTTATTGAGTCAGCTCAAACTTCCATGAATTTAATTACAATTTATAAATACTAATGTAAAAATAAGTTTTATTTTTAATTGAAAACTGGATCTTTGATTTAAATTAAATGAAAAATAAATATTTAAAATTATATTTTTTAATAGGAAGGGGTGATTATAAGATAATATTTGTTTCTAATTTTTTTAACCTATTGATAATGTACATATACCCTGCAGATACAACTATCTTAATTCAAATTTTTTAAAGATGATAACATTCATTTTTATTTCTAAATCAATTTAATAAGTTTAAAACTATAATTTTATTCAATTTAATCGTCCTAATTTTTTTTCTCCTAAACCCAAGATGAAACTAAATGAGGAATTGAAGAGTAGGGACAGTATTTCCTTATGCATGTTTTTCCAGTAATTTATGAGCCTCAAAATCGGGTTGAGGCGTAATAATAGTAGCTTAAATTAGCCCCCATTTATTGGTGGAGCTATCATTTCCAGCTCCCACATATATAGAATTATTATTGTATATATGGGTGACGAAGGATCTTTTTTTAGACGATTTCTAATAAAATAAAATGTTGTTTTTTTTTATGATCTTAAATTTAAATAATTATATTTAAAAAGTATATTCTTATTGTTAGTGATTAAAAAATTATGAATTGATATTATCTTATAATTATTAAAAAATAAAAATAAAACAATAAATTCAGATAATAAAAACTATTCTACCAACCTATCAAATCATTATCCATATATATATATATATATATATATCTTTTAGTTTGAGGGAGTAGTGGGTATTTCTTAAAGCCTTGGCATCTTTTATTTTTTTATTTTTAAAATTAATTTTAGTGGTCCAAAATTGTTTGTTATAACTACAATGTTTTTATGCTCTTTTTGAGCAATTGGAATCACATTAATTTTTTTATAAATTTTGTATAAATATAGTAAAAAATAATTTTATAAGTAACGTTTTGATGGTGTTAAATGTTCATATTTTAATTTATTTTAAAGTTGTTTTTATTTGATACATTGCATATGGAAAAAATAGTTTCACAAGTAATTTTAAGATGATGACAAGTATTATATTTATTTACTTTTTAAGTTTGTAAAAATATTTTACGGATACATGTCGTTATCTTAAGATCAATTGTAATTTTTTCCCAATAACAATGCATTAAATAATTATTTATTTAAAAATATAAAAAACAAATAACTAGATATTTGACAATTGTAATTTTGCGGATGTACACATATACTAGGGTTAGTAAGCACCTACCTTAGATCCGATTTTTCTTATATTTGTTATTTATTTTGATGATTGTGTCCGCCCTTATTTAATATTATTTATAAAATTATTTTTTGTAATGTATCATATAGTAATAATTTGCTAAATTACAAATTTAGTAACTAAACTTGACACTCTCACTTATTTCACTCATTGTGCTTTAAATCTTTTCATTTTCCTCATTGAACTTAATATATTGGGCTTTTTTGGTCACTCGATTGTTAAACAGTTAACAGCGTTAAAATGGACTGTTATATATATACAAAACAACGTCATTTTAGTGAAAAAACTTAACAGTGTCATTTTTAACGTCGTTAACTATTTAATGGAACAATGACCAAAATAGGGGAGAGAGTAAAGTTATGTGACCAAAAAACCCAATGTATTAAGTTCAATGAGGAAATTGAAAATTTTTAAAGTTCAGTGAGCAAAATAAGAGAGAGCAAAATTCAGTGACGAATTTTGTAATTATTATATTGATTTCTTAAGCATATATCACTTTAGTTGACCAAATATAGTTTTTTCTTTTGTAGGCCAATTTATTTGAGATGTATATTTAGTAATTGAGGAACTATCAAAAGCAACTTTGATTGATCAAAACGTTTGAGTGCTAAGTTTCTTGATGCTTATGTTTAGTTTTTAGTCTATTCCTTGTCTTTCTCTTTGTTTATTAAAGAATTGACTCTTAAATTTATTTTAATTCATTAAATAACATTATAATATGTCATAAGTCACCAACATAAAATTAATGATAATTATTTTTTAAAATGAACCATTGTCTTTTTTCCAAACATTCTTTATCATGATTTGCTTTGATCAAGACAACTGGTTCCAAAATTTGATTTTTTTTTTCTTTCTTTCTCAATTTAGAGACAACACAATTTGTTGTAATTAAACAACAAACAATTTTTTTTGAAAAAATAAATCTTTTTTTATAATATCATATCAAATTCAAATTATATTCATCATATGACAACTTCACTAAGGTACATTTTTAGAGACATAATGATAAAAAAATTCTTAACCTTTTAACTTATTCCAATTGTCTTAGTTTCTCAATACAAATCACGCCTTAAAATTTTAATTTTTTCAAATAAATTCTTTCGAATGATTAACTGATGGTTAATATTTTACTGGCGTGACATGATAACATTAAAGGCTCAATTGAAAAATAAGAAAATTTTGTAGAGTATTTTACTATTATACATTTTTACTCTTAATTTATAATCTTCTCTTCTCTTTAAATAAAAATAATTAAAAAAATTTCCTCGACGATTGAACACAAGATTAGTAAATGTATAATGTTATACACTTCATTATAATTTATTTGTAATTTTAAATTTTATTCTATTTTTAACTCTATCCACAAATTTAAAGAAAAAAAAAATCGATTTAAAAACCATAGGGGAAAAGGATAAAAAAGGGTCCACGAAACATTAAAACCGACAATGGCGGTCGTTTTGTGAAATTTTATCTACGAAACCAATAAATCCAAGTGTACTTGGTGGGTGAATATCGATGAAGATCTATCCCAGTGAATTAAACTATCAATTTCACATGAATTTATACCACTTACAATGTAGGGTAAGGGTCATACAGTAGGTAGAATTCCCAAGAAACTAAACCCTAATTTTTTTAATTAGTTTGAGATGTTATAAGTTAATATTTGTTTGAATTTTTTTAATTATTTGATAATGAACATTTAAATATCTTTATAGACATAACGCTCGAACCCAACACCTCTGGAATAATAATTATTTTTAACCATTGTAGTTGATTGTTTCATTAACATAAACCTCTACGATAGCAATAGAATATATATACATATTTAGTCACCCAATTAATTTTGCAATTTCGTGTTGTTCATTCAACTATTTTAAAAATAATACGTAAACTTACGTTTTTGTTTAGTTTTGATCACCCGCCATTAAAAATATTACGATGATTCTGACATGTGATAATTGGGTGACTAAACCGAAACCTTGTGAATCATTAGGCAACTTAATATGCCATTTACCCTAGAATATGCTATGTGCATCACTCATGATTTTTCTTTTCAGAAAAATCATTGTAAACACTTATAAAAGATTAAAACAAAAATTATCATGATCGAGTCAATCAAATTAAAATACAATGATAAAAAGATTTTTGTTAGAACATAGGAGTAAAATTTATGCCAAAGCTACCCTAATGACCATTTTTCTAAGCCTTAAAAGTAGGTGATTCAATGGAAATGGTGATGAGGTGCCATTGCCAAACACACCTACCTGTACTGTATAGCTTTTGTTTGTGTAGGCCATGTTTTTCACCTTTGACAACAATCCCCTACCCTATATATTAAGGGCTCCTACCCCTTCGATTCATATGCCAAGACAAAGTCTCCATTAATAAACATTATCATTCTCCTTTTTGATAGCTAGCTGGTCCCATGGCGAGCTCACTTGTTTTTGTTTCGTGGATGGTTTTAGGACTTGTAATGGCTACTTCAACTGCCCGAGTTGAATCCGCCAGGGCATTTTTTGTGTTCGGTGATTCCCTTGTTGACAATGGCAACAACAATTTCTTAGCAACCACTGCTCGAGCCGATTCGCCGCCTTACGGCATTGATACCCCCAACCGTCGTCCCACCGGTCGCTTCTCGAACGGCAAAAACATCCCCGATTTCATCAGTTGGGACTTCCATTCCCTTTTACTTCTAATTTTCTCTTCATATTTCATGTTGATTCAACTGAGAATTTGTGTATGTATCAGGTGAAGCACTTGGTTCAGTGCCAACATTGCCATACTTGAGTCCAGAGCTCAGGGGAGATAGGCTACTTGTTGGGGCCAACTTTGCTTCAGCTGGCATTGGGATCCTCAATGACACTGGCATCCAATTTGTAAACTTCTCAAATTCCATGTGTTTTTTTTTTTTTTTTTGACATTTCAAGCCCATTTTGACTGTTTTTGTCCTTCAAATGATGCATTGACAGATAAACATTATCAGAATGTACAAGCAATTGAAGTACTTTGAACAATACCAGGCCCGGTTGACTGACCTCGTCGGGTACGACGAAGTGAGACGGATCGTAAACGATGCACTCATACTCATCACCGTCGGCGGCAACGATTTCGTTAACAACTACTACTTGATTCCATTCTCTCCGAGATCTCGCCAGTTCAGTCTACCAGATTATGTTCGATACCTGATCTCTGAGTACAAGAAACTTCTAATGGTAATATTTCTTGGCATTGTGTCACATTAACATGAAAGATGCCTGGAGATTTGTAAGCTTACAAACTATATTGCAGAGGCTGTATGATCTAGGAGCTCGGAAGGTTCTGGTGACCGGGACAGGACCAATGGGTTGTGTTCCGGCAGAATTAGCCATGAGGAGTCCAACCGGTCAGTGTGCCGCCGAATTGCAACGAGCTGCGGCTTTGTACAATCCACAATTGGTTAACATGATAAATGAACTCAACAGCCAGTATGGTTCAAATATTTTCATTGCTGCTAATACACAACAGCAAACCACTGATTTCATTAATGACCCTGCAGCCTATGGTAAGCAAATGGTAAATTAATTCATAAATTTTATTAAATGATCACATGCATTATTCAACTAATTCATATATTTGCATAAACCGGGAATTTTAACAATTAGGAGTAATGAATGAGGCCTTAATAGCAAGAAGGAGACAAGGATGAACAACAAAAATGTGTGACATTTTGTTGACCTAATTAAAAAAGAACCCCAAATTTATTTATTACAACAACCTACCCCCTTTGAATCACTATTAAATTATGATGAAAGCTACCAAAGATATTATGCATTTTGCCCCAAATTTTATAACCCTCTCAAAAAGGCAACTACACACTTCAAAAATCCATTGTTCTTTTGGGTAAAATACATATGTAGTCACCCACCTATTCTCACAGTTATGTGTTGGTCGCTTAACTATTTTTTTTCCTTCGAAAAGTATACCTATTCTTTAATGCCTATTTTGGTATATGGATTTTATTTGCTTCATTTGCAGGATTTACCACATCAAAGGTAGCTTGTTGTGGCCAAGGACCCTACAATGGCTTGGGACTATGTACCGTGGTATCGAATCTGTGCCCAAACCGAGACGAATATGCTTTCTGGGATCCGTTCCATCCTTCGGAGAGGGCGAACGGCATAATTGTGAACATGATCTTGAGTGGTTCGGCTAATTACATGAGCCCCATGAACCTCAGTTCTCTCTTAGCTTTGGACACCAAAACCAAGACATAGTTAATTAGTTAGCATTCTAATAAGGATAGTGAGCCTTTTGTGTTGAACCATTAATGTTGTTCGTTTGCTTTGCATGGATGCTTCTATGATTTTGATTATTATGGCGTTGTGGTTTGAATAATTTGCAATTATGTATTGTTCGAATCTGTTTTCTATTATGATATCTAAATTTCATTTTTTATTATTGTTTGCATTTTTAAGGAGAAAAATCAGGTTTTCTATTTAAAAAGGATATTTATAAGCTTCAAATACATGCATGAATTATATATAAATATTTAAATTTTAAAGGTGATATTATCATATATTTCAATTTATTCGATCTTATAACATTTTATCATTGAGAAAATAAATAACGTTCGAACAAGTATTTAAAAAAAATACAACATTTCAGAAAAGAAAAAAAAGAAAATATAATGTTCGAAGAATAATAAGAAAACTTAAGGAATTAATATCAACATTTTATTAATTTCGATAATCACATTTTTGTATATTAATTTCAAACTAAGCAGCCTATATGAAATAGACTTTGGCATTTAATAATCTGCATGGAGAAATTTTTTCCTTTTCAGACATATTTTAAAGGCTGGATCATACATCTATTTATCGGAAAATTATTATTATTTTAAATAGATTACACAGAAAATAATTATTCAGTAATCAATAATATTTTAAATTTGGCTTTAGGTAAACTTTATAAATGGTCCTTAAACTTTTAAAGTGCTTTGTTATATAAATTTTATATAAAAACATTAAAAATAAAAATTTAAAATACTAATATTGCTATCACTTTAAACACTAATATTGCTATCACTTTAAAAATAAGGCAAAAAGGGACCCAAGGTCCCTGAACTTTCAAACAAAACCAGTACAGCCCTCATCCTTTTTTTTTATCAATGTGGCCCTCTAACTCTGGAAAAAAAATTTCAATGTGACCCTTTGACCAACGTTTTCCGTCGTTTACCAACGGAACCGTTACTTTCAGTTGGTGTGACACGTTAACTTGCCCAGCTTAGCCGTTTAATACTGTTAGAAATTGGGTAAATTACACAATTTATCATTCACCTATCTTCTTTCTTCTATTTTGGTCACTAAAATTTAAAAAATTCAATTTAATCACTCAACTTTTGAGTTACTCCTATTTTAATCACCATAACTTATTTTATTATTTTTTATGTATAACATGAAATTTATTATTATTTTATTAATATATGATTAAAATAATATCAATTAAACTAATTACATAAAAAATTTGAATCAAGTGGGATTTGAACTTTTCATAGAAAAGTTCATATTGTTCTTCATCATCCTTTTTACCTTATCTGTAAATATAAATACACTTGAACAAAATTTGAGCTTCATCAGTTTCTGGCTCTCCCCAAGTTTTCCAAAGTTGAAAACAAAAGCAATCAGGTGCTTCAATCCACTTGATCCTCGAAGCATCAATGGCATTCTTCACCAATATCCCAAACCTCGACATCTTGTTCTTGTCATAAACAACCGGTGAGCCACCATGAATCATTTCAGGCAATTTGAACACCACTTGCTGTTCAGGGATCACCGCAGAGTTCTCGGTGATCGCGAAATCATGGATCAGTGAACCTACAAGCATAGCTAGCCGAACCATTTTTGAACTGAACCGCATGAACCATCTCATCCCCATCGAAGAAATGATGACTGGCGACGGGTTTGTGAAGCGGTTTCGAATGTAGACCTTTTATACATTCCAGGATTGTTCTGGTCACAGGGAGCCTACACTTGACCCGTTGGTTCGGTACAGGGGCAAAGTTTCCAGATATTTGAACAGTGGGGTCAACTGTTTTGGAAAGAGAATAGTGACACTAGTGAGAAACCAAAACATTCTCCACCACATTGGTAATCTTGGAATTTTTCGACGACAGATAGGGAAGGAGGGAAAGGGGTGGAGGTAGGGGGTAAGAATCCATTTTCTTTTTGCCATAGCTAAACCTTAGACCCTAAGTCTCTAAGATTTCCGAAATTGAAAACTTCTAGAGTATGGGTTAACTACAACCTTAGACCCTGAACTCTCTAAGATTTCCAAAATTGAAAACTTCTAGAGTCTAATGACCAAAATAGAAGAGAAGAAAATAGTTAAGTGATGAATTATATAATTTACCCAATTTATAAACATGAATTAACAGTTCTGTTGGTCAAAGGGTCACATTGAGTTTTTTTTTCAGAGTTGGAGGCCCACATTGATCGAAAAAAGGATGAAGGCAATATTGAGTTTTTTTTTTTAAGTTCAAGGACCTTGGGTGCCTTTTTACCAAAAAATAATTATAATATTTAAAAAAAATCTACGCATAGTCTGTTGATGTCCCCTTAAAAATATTTCTTATAATTTTTTTAAATTATGATATCATAATTTAATTTTTTTAATTTTGTTCTTATTGATTATGAAAAAAAACATTTATCGGTTGTAAATGACATTATAATCTTTTAACTTTGGGTAAATTACACCGGTCCTCACCGAATTTTACCACCTCTCTTATTTTACTCATCGTACTTTCAATTTTTCTATTATCTTACTAAACTTTACAGATTAAATCATTTTGATCACTCTGTCATTATCTCTCTAACGGTATGATAACGTGTCATTTTTTATTATTATTTAATATAAAATAATTGAAAATATAAAGGTAAATTACACTGTTTATCACTGAACTTTACTATCTCTCCATTTTGCTCACCCAACTATAAAATAAAAATAGAAGGTGGTCGGATACCATCGCCGGCAACCGTCGACCGCCGTAGATGATGATCGTTCGTTCCCAAATTTCATGGATCGCTTTGCCTTTGTACCTTGAGTTCGAATCTAACCTCTATTTTGTCGAAACTTGCTCCGAAGTCCATAAATCAGAGATTGAAAGTGAGGAGGCCGAAACATTTCAGTCGAGATTCATAGATTTTGAGACATTTTCCGGTGAAATAACCACCAGATTCAGACTAAGGGGGTCGAGACAAACCGACCCATGAATTTTGAGACTGAATGGCCACCATCAACGACGATCGATGGTAACTGGAATGAAAAATGATGTGGTGGTCGGTGGCTACAATGGGGGAAGAAGAGGGTTCGAAACGACGTTGTTTTAGTGTATATTTAAGTTTTTTAAAATGATATCATTTTGATACTTCTGTCATGTCATAACATTGTTAAAAGTTAATAGCATAGTGAGCAATATGATTCAATCTATAAAGTTCAGTGAACAAAATAAAGAATTTGAAAGTACGGTGAGTAGAACAAGAGAGAGAATAAAACTCAGTGAGGAACGGTGTATTTACCCTTTAACTTTTAACATAAAAAGGTTGAATTTTATTTATGATGTCTTAGTAAAACAACATGTATATTATTGGGTTCCTTGTAATTAAATTACTAAAAGAAATTTAACCTTAAATTGGGTGTGACATTAACAATCTTTTTTATTGGTTGCATGTGTTATTTATTGCAGTTTGATCTTTGCACTCAGAATGGGCGGTGCATTGGAATAATTCTTTGGAGGCTTTTCAGCCATTTACATAAAGACAAACCTTCAAAGTGGGCTAATTCCAAGTCGAACGTAAAATTTTATATTAAAAAATTAATTCTTAAGATTTTAAGGGAAAAATAAATTATAAAATTTTAAGAGGCAAAATAGATTATTAATAAAAAAATATCAAAAATATAAATAATTTAAAACTTTGAGGGGACTGTCCCACCCGTTTCTCCCTCGATCTATCCCTTGGCACACCTTTTTCTTTCTTCTACCTTATTAAATCTAATAATTTTAAACATGCTATAAAAATACAATAAATACTCCATAAACTAAGTTTTTTTTTTAAAAAAAAGAAATTTAACACTAAAAAGTTATTTATAACGTTTAGATGTTGATTATATTCAATTGACAATATTTTTCTCGAAAAATCACATCTTAATATTTACAGTTGTAATGCAAAAGTTGAAAGGATGATAAAAATAAAAAGCATCATTGTTAGAAAATGATCAATTCCTTTAAGGCTTAATTTGTAAAGTAAAGTGCCTGAATTATATCGTTTTCTTAAAAGTAGCGTCTAAACTTTTTTCGATCTATCTACGTGTTTAATGTTACAAACGTTAGCACTTTAAGTGCCTCAACAATAACGACAGTTAAATTTTGTTGTTAAAGGACATGTGTTGTCTTTATAAAATTTTAAAATTTTATTAAAATTAAAAAAAAACTTAAAATTATAATTTTTAAAAGAAAAAAGACATTTTTAAAACCCTAATTTCAATATCTTTGCTACCTCCAGTCGTCTCCACAGCGGTCAATCGACCGAAAATCCAATGACGTATAGCTAACCACCCACGACCAAAATCCTCTTGTTTTCACAATCAGTCAAACACTCAACGACGATGTAAGTGTAACATTTTGCGAACGTCAATTCTCATCTCTATCGCGTATTTTCACTACAATTAAAGGTTGGAGTAAGGGGGTTTCAGTTGTTGGGTGTTCTTCCGGTCATACAACATTGGAATTTTGGCCGATTGATGCAGTGGTGATGGTCGACGATGGTAAAGATATTGAAATTAGAGTTTTAAAAGTTTTTGGGTTTTTTTAATTTGAGAAAAATTTAGGTTTTTAAGATATATATATATATAAATTTCTCAAAATTATAAAAAAAATGTGACACATGTCACTTAATGAAGAAATTTAACGATCGTTAAGTTGTATAAATCCCTTATTATAACCCTTAATGCAAATCCTAATTTCCATTTCAAATCTCATTCTTTTTTAAGGGTAAATTACACGGTTCCTCATTCTACTTTACTCTCTCTCCTATTTTGCTCTTCGAACTTTCAATTTTTCTAATTTTCACACTGAACTTTACAGATTGAATCATTTTGCTCACTCTGTCGTTAACTTTTTAATGACGTTATGACGTGGCACAGGAATCAAACCAACACTGTTTTGAAAAACTCAAATATACTTTAAAACGATGTCGTTTTGGTGAGTAAAATATGAGATAGAGTAAAGTTTAATGACTCATGGTGTAATTTACCCTTTTTCCTTCTCTTCTTCATTGTCTCTCCGACGGCCAACGTGTCATTTTCATTCCAATCACCGTCGACCGCCGTAGATGGTGGTTGTTCGATCCCAAAA